GTCGTAGTTGTTGTCTTCATATATAGTCCCCCAGCTTACCGTGTATGCTGACATAAAGCATTCATCTATCTATATGGATGTATATGACTTGTAGAATATCATACGCAGAGGAAAAGAAAAACATATACTACGAGTGCAAACCAATGGATAAAACTGATGCTAGAGGTCAACAGCACAGGATCACCTACGATATAGCTGATCCATAGTGTCCAGTTGAACAAACAACCCTCTTGCCTTCTATAAGGTTCCTTGAAATAGAATTTCTTCTTGACAGAAACACCAAGAGGCCCTGAATAGCGATCTACAGGTATGCCTCTTTAGTCCTGTTTGATGATTGTTTTCTTCTCCCTTCAGTTTTGTCCAGCACATCTACACCTATGTTGTATTGACTCGATACATCAACTGAGTGCTTTTAAGGACTGCATTCTGGAGAAAAGAGAGGCTGTGATCAATAGAGACTTGCTATCTTTTCAAAACGATCGAGTCGTAGAACAATTATCTGAAGCTGGTAACTCACTGGAAGAGCGTTTTTTCTCTCCCTGAAGATATACAGTGTAATAACAGACATGTCAGTTACTTAAAATGCCGTAAAATCATATCAGTTCATGTTGAAACTATTGGTGTCTGTTGTCTTTCTTGTGTTTTTCCATGTTTTTAATTTTTCAAAATCCTACATTTCTAAATATTTCCAGGTTTAAACCTGTATGAGTTTGTTTCTTGTGTTGAACACAAAAGAAGATATTTTGAAGATGGTTGGTAACCAACCAGTTGACGGTAGCCATTGACTCCCATAGCATTTTTTCCCCCCACACTATGGAAGTCCATGGCTACTGTCAACTGTTTAGTTACCAACTTTATTCAAATATCTTTTGTGCTTAACAGAAGAAACACACTCATACATGTTAGGAACATGAGTAAATGATGACAGAATTTTCATTTTTAGGTGAACTCTCCCTTTAAGATCACGTTCTTTGTAGCCACACATCCATGTTTCCATATTTTCTTGCCAACACATGGGTGTGAATTAAAAACCACAGGCAATTTGCTCAAGCATATGGCATAGTGCTGTGTCATACCTAAAGGGACTTTAAGGCTCAGTAACACATGAACGATCATCCATGAGTCTTTTAGCCTTGCGACACAGCAGTCTAAAAATAGCTCAATACTATGAGTCCATTCAGTATCACCAAGGAAACAGTCATTCATTCATAGAGGAATGAATGATCACTGCCATACAAGATCAAGCTGACCAATTGAAAAAACAAGTCGGTTACTAAACGTGTGTTCACATTAAGCAAATTTTCACTGAAATCTGCAAGAATAAATCTTCGCCCACCTAATTTAGCAAATATAGAGCACTGGCACTCAGAAAATTAGCAAATGTATTTGCAATGCCCTAAAAACTCCCAGAACACCATAGCAAACGAACAGCAACATGCTAAAAAAACACTATAACGACAGTAATGTGTTAAAAACACTCAGTACATCTTAGCATAACAATAGTATTGTGCTAAAAACTCTTAGAACACCTTAGCAAATATATAGCAAGGTGCTAAAAATGTTCAGAACACCTTAACAAGTGTTGTTTAACAGTATCAGGTATATAGTATATTTATCAAGTGTACAGCAAAATGTAAAAAAAAACACTCTGATGACCTTAGCAAATGTTTAGCAACCCCTTAACACCTTAGCAATATGCTAAATTCGCAGTGTGCTAAATAAGAATTGCAACGTGCTAAAAACACTCAGAACATCTTAACAAAAGAATAGGCCAGCAATGTGCTAAAAACACTTAGAACACCTTAGCAAATGGATAGCAAGGTGCTAAAAACATCTTAGCAAGTATACTGCCACCCGCTAAACAGCACTTATCAAATGTGTAGCAGCATGCTAAAAATATTAAAGGGGTCATATGATGTTGCTAAAAAGAACATTATTTTGTGTATTTGGTGTAATGAAATGTGTTTATGTGGTTTAAAGTAAAAAAAAAAAAATTATTTTCCACATACTGTACATTATTGTTTCTCCTCTATGCCCTGCCTTTTTGAAACGCGTCGATTTTTACAAAGCTCATCGGTCTGAAAAAGCGAGGTGTGCTGTGATTGGCCAGCTATCCAGTGCGTTGTGATTGGCCGAATACCTGAAGCGTGAGATGGAAATGCAAATCTTCCCACATAGTGAGGTAGATATGTGGGGGCGTGTTCGAATGAGCCGTTTTAGGTAGGTGTGGCTGACTCTTAACTTTGGTGTTTGAGACTTTAGTCTTTGCAAATTTACAGATCTTCTTTATGCACCAAGAGCTTGTAACACTCCAAAGAGAACGGAAAAAATGAAATCGCATTATATGACCCCTTTAAGCATTCCCTGTTGAAAAAACCAGCATATGCTGGTTTTTTCAACAGGGCAATAACAATAATTTGATAAAAAACAATCAGAACACAGTAGCAAGTGTGTAGCAATACCTAGGTAACCACTCACAACATCCTAGCATTATAGTAATGAGTTTTGCACAAGCAAGCTGCGATTTCTTAAGAAAAGGAAAATATCTAGTTTCTTTTTGATTGCTGGTTTCTGTGCTGAATTTACTGAAAGAGTGTCCTATGGAGGGTAATGAAGAAACAGATAAATCTCACTGTTACTGTCAATTATAGGTAGCTGCAATTAGTGTGGAATTCAGATTGGGGAAGAAGGAACTCAATATGAAGGTTGATGGATTGACTTGTTGCCTGGCTTTGTAAATGACCTCTTTCTCCCATTTGTTAAATATATTCACATACCTATAAGCATTTAGCACGTTACTATTAGTTTTATGTGCCAGTATCCCTGATATGCCTTGCAACAAGATCATTTTTTACCTTAAATGAATAACGGGGGGTCATCCTTCAAGTGTGGAAAGCTACTAAAATCTTTGCCAATGACAATTTCTCTGTCCCGTTTGACTCGTTTAATGCTGTTAACTGGCCTTTTTTGCTATAGGGCAACGAAGTTCATTGATTTTTCCACCAGAATTAAGTGTTATCGACCTTTTAAAGCTAAATTAGGGCTTATGTTACTCTGCTGAGTGAAAGGGAAAAGAAATCTTGTATGGGCAAGGGAAGCATTTTATCTTGTGTTTTCAAAGCTATGAATTTCTGGCTCTGTGAAGCTTAATTATTTTCTTAGTGGGGAGTTGCTTCAGTTGACTGATCCTATCTCACCAATTACCATAGCTGCGGGAGTTTTGATGTGTCAATATTTCTTGGTCTCTGTATTACACTAATCTCTTAGTACGGACCATCAGTCAGGCCAATTAGCCTGACTCAAACACCTCCACTGCTAGCTACTGACGTCAGTTGCTTTGAGATCAGTGCTTTTCAGCACTTGAGAACCATTGGCTGCCCAAAGAGCTGTATGTCTGCAGTGCCTGTTGCTATGGGTTTGTGAATAACTGACCTCTATGATAAGGCGACAAGATTTCTAAAATGGAAACATTTCCTAGTTCAGTGGTCTAGATATAATTGAAATCTCACTTGTGTTATCTATCAATTAGACATTTATGTAGGCTATGTTTTTTTGTTTTTTAATTGTTGTGGGTATACTATTATACTTTGTTTGCCGGTCCCAAACTGGTTTTACTACAATTCATCAAAATAATATTATATATATAAAATGATAACTTCACAAAATCTCTTCTGCTCACCAAGGCTGCATGGTTTGATCAAAAATACAATAATATTGTGAAATATTATTACCATTTAAAATAACAGTTTTTCTATTTTAATTTATTTTAAAATGTAATGTGGAATTTTCAGCAGCCAATTACTCCAGATCCTTCAGAAATAAAATAATTTTAATTTTAAGACGTGATAATCAGCAAAGACGTGTTAAACTGATCGAAAACAGCGCAGTTAAATGCAAAAATACATTCTGCTTAAATGGACCCTCTGAAAAATACAAAAAAATTAGTAAACTGTGGTCTCATTTATAAAACGTGCATATGCACAGATGTAAACTCATAGTGTAGGCTATGTGTATGCTAAAATCCACGCCAATGTTCAATTCTTGCAGCTGGCCATTCTCACATAAAGGATTTAGATGTTGACTGGTGCTCTATTATATGTTAATGGCATTAATTAGGTGGCTCTCACAAAATGGAGATCTGAAACCATTCAGCTGCACACAATTTCAAGATAATTTGTGATTTATAAATTTCACTTCTGAAACCGAGGCGTATGCGCACGTTTTTGTGTGTGTAGTTCATTCTCTGAATCACACATACAGTATGCATTGTGAAATTATCGTAAGATTAAATGTAGGACAGTTTCTACTTAACATTTCATAAACGAGGCCCCATCGTGTTCAGAATGGCACGCCCTCTTATTCACTCAACATTTACTATGACATGGGTTTTCTGAAAAAATACTAGCCTACACCCACTCAACATGTAATGCGTCTGTATTTGGAAAATAACTCGTAAGCCATTCAGTTTTTTGACATTGCCAACCTTTCAAAATTGCATTTCAGTTCACCTCTTATGAAACACTCGCAAGCTGTTGTTGAACTGGAAGTATGATGAGGCATTGTGATTCACAAGCTTAGCAATTCCTCTGATACAGTTCCCCTTTAAGTAAACTCACTTCTCAATCAGTTTTACAAATAAAGATAAGCATTTTGACTTGAATGGAACAAACCAGGAGTCAAACCAATCTAGTGCTTACTAATACTCCCCCAAATTTCCACCCATATGCTGTGTGATGAACAATAAAGCTTCTGTCTGTGAGTGCAGTAGGTGTAGTTCCCCTCTGTGAGCTTTCACTTCCAGTATGTCAAGTCACTTGCTCCTGTGGAAGTTATTAAAGGGATGCACTCAGGAATTTAATTACTAGAAAAATTGGCTAATACTAAAACCTAAGCTTTCTGCACCAAGTTCTGTGCTCAGGAATTTCTGGCATTTGCTGTTGCGGAGAGTCATGCTTATGAAGAGACGCTGAGGTTATGACTAATACACAAAAACCAACAAATAATCTAAATCATTTTATTAATTTAAGTTAGGTAGAGACACTAAACATTGGAACCATGTTGTGTGCTCTTCTATAGAGCACTCTTTAGGAAAGTTACAAAAAGAGTATGTCATACTGTTAACAAATGGCAAAAATGAAGAGGTAGAGATTTTAGGCTCATCACAGTCGGTGAAGGACGCCTATTGGAATGTAGTTTAAACTCATGTGTGCTGTCTTTTTTTTTTTTTGCCTAAACATACATCTGTGAAAACATTTCAATGGTCCAGGTTTAAATACACAAAAGGAAAAACATTAAATGAACAAATGTGTACAACAAAAATGCATCATATTCATATTGTTATTGACTGAAACTGGTAATTGACATGTGAATTTGTATGAATGAAAATAAAAAATGCATGATGAATCCATTATAAAATAAAAGATAGGTCTGTAACCAAAATAAAAACTTATTTTCAGTTAATTCACAAATTCAAAGTAGGCCGAGTAAAACTAAATAGTGTTCAGTGACAGGAAAACCAGGCCATCCCTTCCAACTGACGAACTCTCATACATTTCCATATACCATAAGTTTGTAGATTATAGAGTAAAACCACACTCCCTTCCCACAGCAGCTGGAAACAGACCAGCGTTTTACCCACATGTACTTCTCATGACATCAACAAAGAGAAATGTGGGGGGAACAATGCAAAATTTCTTATAAAACATCACATGGTTCATAACTGGACACTTGATCTCCTGCCGCTGCCTTTAAATGGATCGGATTGGGGAACGGAGTGGCATGGTGTCACACTGAACGGTGTAGATAATGTTGGCAGTGTAGAGGAAAGTAAATACAGTGCATGTCTACACACAAAAAAAAAAAAAAAAAAAAGTGACAAGCATTTACTGTTCATACAGTAACATACTGTATAGTTTCACAAAGACACTAGATAATGCTGGTGACTACATTACGTAAATAGTTAATTACATGTATGATTTCAAAACTATTGACAGTATATAGATGGATGGTTTCATTAAACAAACCTTTAAAAAAGACACAAAACATAAATCAACAAATAAATCCTTAGTGTAGTACACAGCTTTCTTTGTTCCAGAGGAACAATATGGTAAACCTTTGCATCTGCCAAATGCAAGTGCACCAGTCTAAACGCAGTCTTTTCACTTCCTTCTGCCCTCTCAGTGGTCTTCTCCTCATCCCTTGTGAGTTAGAAACGGCGCCCTCTAGATCCCGTTCTTGGCCTCGTTGTTGTTCATCGCCTCTTTCCTCTGAGCCAGGAAGGGGTACATGCACTTATCCGCACCCAGGAACCGGTACATGCACACGATTGCTTCGAAGGGCAAAATGCTGTAAAACCCAAAACAAACGGGAGAACGTTACTTCCGCTTGCTCCGACCATCTGGAGGCATTTCAAAGTCCGGTTTTAGGACCATTCAAACACACCTTTTCATAAAGTTGACCATGTATACAATGCGAGGCGTGCAGATCATGGGCTGGTCTGTCAGGATGGCCCTCATGGCCTGTTTCACACAGAACTCTGGTCTCAATGGAGGGAGAAATGGCTCGATCTCTTTCCTGACCCGCCCAGGAAGGGAGAGGAGGAGAAAACATGATGATTAAGAGTCGTCTTTGTTTAATAAAGTCAGCCCAAAGTGCTTTGCCAGTCAGAGCAAGTCATTATTGAGTGGAAACAGATCCAACATGCACCTTCTATTCAAGTGGAAGCCCCTATTGTGCGCATGAAAACCCAAGCTGACAGTGACATGAGGCCACAAGCAAAGCTACCCTGACTGTTGTTAAGCAATGTCTACTCGAACTAGATACGCATTGTGTCGTTCGCTCTTTTAGTGGCCATCTGAAACCTAATCGTGACATTTGGACGGCTCTTTTCTTACCTTATTCTGCATCCTCTGAACATGCCCGTGTCCACCAGGTAAGGACACACCAGCGTCATCTTGATACCGTCCTTCTCCGAAGCCTTGATTTCGTGGCTCAGGGACTCGTGGAAGCCGATGGCACCGAACTTGCTAGCACAATAATCCTGAAACCGAGAGGAAACGGAGTTTAGTCAAGCTTCCAGAGGCGGTTTTCCTCTAATAGTGCGGGAGCGCTGGGATCTACGGTTTCATTAGCATTCTTCTTTCGTGTATGGAGTATAGGTAGAGCCGAGCGGGAGGGTTTTGATGTAGTTCGCGGTGGATGGGATCTTCAGAATGGAGTGGGCAAACAGATGTGTAGATAAACACTCTGGAATAAAAGGGGCTCACAGAGGCTTGAGTCACTCCAATAATGCAAACCATAAAAAGTCACATTCAAGGAAACATAATAGGTCAAACAGCAGTGTGACAGGGCTTTTGGGACCCTTTGAAGTGAGAGTAAAGATGAGGGCTTGTAAAATAGAAGTGCACGTACAGCTAACAAAACAAAAAAGGTAACGTTTCCCCAAAAGACTGCTGGGAAAATGACACCAGTTTGGACAGCAGTGAAAGAAGAGGATTGTACATGTACTAGAGATCCCTCAAACACACAGGCTGGTTTAATGGACTAAAATAACTCTTTAGGTGCAGGAAACTGTTAAAGCAGTCTGTTTTTTTCTAGTGCCATCAAACGATTAAATCGCATCCAAAATAAAGGTTTGTTTACATACACCTATAAAAAGACACACATATAGCATATATTTTGAAAATAATATTTACATGTATATTTATATATGATATAATTTATATGAAAATATTTACATGTTATTTAAATATATACGTAACATTTTTCTAAAATATATACATGCATGTGTGCGCATTTATATATACACAGTACACATTATGTATACAACATTTTTTTTTTTTTTTTGGATGCGATTAAATTGCGATTAATTGTTTGACCGCACCCATATTAACCCCAGTGAATCATGGGGAATTTGCCTCTGCAGCAGGTAGGCCCAGTGAAACCATTGAGCGTCTTTTGGCATTAACGTGCTCCTTAATTGCGTCTCTTTTAGTGGCCATCTGAAACCTAATCATGACATTTGGACAGCTCCTTTCTTTTACCTTATTCTGCATCCTCTGAACATGCCCGTGTCCACCAGGTAAGGACACACCAGCGTCATCTTGATACCGTCCTTCTCCGAAGCCTTGATTTCGTGGCTCAGGGACTCGTGGAAGCCGATGGCACCGAACTTGCTAGCACAATAATCCTGAAACCGAGAGGAAACGGAGTTTAGTCAAGCTTCCAGAGGCGGTTTTCCTCTAATAGTGCGGGAGCGCTGGGATCTACGGTTTCATTAGCATTCTTCTTTCGTGTATGGAGTATAGGTAGAGCCGAGCGGGAGGGTTTTGATGTAGTTCGCGGTGGATGGGATCTTCAGAATGGAGTGGGCAAACAGATGTGTAGATAAACACTCTGGAATAAAGGAGCTCATTCACTCCAATAATGCAAACCACAAAAAGTTACATTCAAGCAAACATAATAGGTCAGACAGTGTGACAGGGCTTCTGAGACCCTTTGAAGAGAGAGTAAAGATGAGGGCTTGTAAAATAGAAGTGCACGTACAGCTAACAAAACAAAAAAGGTAACGTTTCCCCAAAAGACTGCTGGGAAAATGACACCAGTTTGGACAGCAGTGAAAGAAGAGGATTGTACATGTACTAGAGATCCCTCAAACACACAGGCTGGTTTAATGGACTAAAATAACTCTTTAGGTGCAGGAAACTGTTAAAGCAGTCTGTTTTTTTCTAGTGCCATCAAACGATTAAATCGCATCCAAAATAAAGGTTTGTTTACATACACCTATAAAAAGACACACATATAGCATATATTTTGAAAATAATATTTACATGTATATTTATATATGATATAATTTATATGAAAATATTTACATGTCATTTATGTTAATTAAATATATACGTAACATTTTTCTAAAATATATACATGCATGTGTGCGCATTTATATATACACAGTACACATTATGTATACAACATTTTTTTTTTTTTTTTGGATGCGATTAAATTGCGATTAATTGTTTGACCGCACCCATATTAACCCCAGTGAATCATGGGGAATTTGCCTCTGCAGCAGGTAGGCCCAGTGAAACCATTGAGCGTCTTTTGGCATTAACGTGCTCCTTAATTGCGTGCTGTGCGCAACACTGAATTTCCATGCCATGGCGAGTCAACGTGCCGAGACTCTCCAAACACACTCTTTTTCAGTCTGCCAATAGATTTGTGATGGATGCAATGTACTGACCTCCACACCAGCTGTGCTGAAAAGGCCCAGTGAACTGGCAACTGTCACAATGTGGCCATGGTTCATCTCTAGCATCTTGGGAAGAAATGCCTTGGTGGTCTGGAAGAGGAAGAGGAAGAGAAAGAGAGAGAGAAGGGGGGGGGGGAAACAAAGACAGTTATTTTGCTGATGCTGTCCGTCTCTGCCAAAGCCCTTTGATCTGTTTTTTATTTCCCTCCTCCCCGACTAATAATTCACGGAGACTAAACACTCATCTCCCTCATCCTGCTGGGGGAGTTTAGAAACACAATTCCATTACAGTCTTAAAGGCCATTTACAGGGATCTTGCGTTCCACTTGCACTTAGGAGATTAATTTACGTACAGCTCAATTTGTTTTGGTAGATCGAAAAATTCTCATTTCAGACATGGAGGTTTAACTTGGATGAAAAGCAGACTACTTGAATGGATGAAGTATCGCTCCAGACCGTCAAGTGGTTTGGTATTGGTCTGAAATGGCTTATTAAAATGGTGAAAAGACCACTTGAAAATTCACAACAAGTGGTTTGTCTGTGGTTTCCTCTTTTCCCACAACGAGTTAGTCCCAAGAGTGGCATCTCAGTATCAAGCGCACAAAGCTCGAGCGGCGTACTCACTCACCACGGTCACTACAATACGGCTCAAGACCACAACAACACCGCTGTAGGTCAACAAAGACGGGAAACAAACACCACCTATTTAGCCTGGATCAAGCATTAGCATTGGAACGATTAAAGGAATAGTTCATGTGAAAAATCATCATTTATGAGTCAAGGAGTTGAATTTGTAAACCAGATCAGAATTAATCTTTTAGGTAAACCATACTGAAAACAACAATTAACTGAAGTTTAAAATGACACAAGTTAAAAGGAAATTACATTTTGATTTTGGGGTGAACTACACCTTTAAGCTAGGTTTAAAATGTAGAAAATTAACAAAACAACTTGACTTGTAGTTATCTGGTACTAACTAAACTGCTGGGCTAGATTGGTTAACTTTTTTCAGCTGCTCTGACATCCTGTCTGGCTATTATTGACGGTTTTTCATGCAATGAATCAGTGTCATCGTCCACTTTTGCCTGATCCTGGCTGGACAAAAGACAGAGTGAATAAAAAAAAATAAATAATAAATAAAAAAAAAAAACCACATGCCTCATCTTCCATTCTCTTCAGACCCAGGGGAAGTGAGGGGGTGGACACAATAATGATGAAAAACATGACCGGCGTCATCCATTTACGGCTTTCTTAGAGAAGACTTGCTGTACAAGCCCCACAGAACTGCCTGTGGCTTTATAGTCAATCCTCAATGGAACACGAAACATGCTATGAAAAAGAAAAAAAAAAAAACCTTGTGAGCCAAAAACAACAGAGCCCCTTCCAGAGGCCTTCAATGATATCACCATTTATAAACAAGCCCAACAGTAATGGACCTTGGCCACGCTTGAGAATGGTACCATCTTGCACGGTTTTGTGCGCGGTTCGCACCTCTGCCAGCCGTCCTAACATGTCAGCTTGACATGTTGTTGAAATATGGCACTGGAAGCTCTCAAATTCACTTCCATTGACTTCACTTCATTGAGGCAGGCCAGTCGTGCGATTGAGCGCTGCGGTCCACATGCTACACATTTAATTCCTGACGTTAACAGTAAACTGTATTTTTCCAGCGCATTAAGTGTAAAATTGCTCTTAATATTCATCTCATTGTGTTGGGGGGGTTCCTTCAAGGGAGCAGACTTGGACCAGTTTGAAGCTGTACTCGTGCCTTGCATGCCAAACTGATGGCAAGTATGCGTGCAAATGAAGCATTAGGATAGATTGGGCCTGTGGTGCACATAATGCTAACATCTTCCAAACACTGCAATCTACAGTATTAAAATTTGATTTGAAAAGTTTGGATTATGTGCTGCTTCCAATGAGACAGAAAGTCACGAATCATGCAATCAAAAGTCTACTCTTGCGTCAAGTGGTGAAATACTTACTCTAGCTTTTGCAATTTATTCTACCACTAGCATGGGAAAGAAATGGACCGGAATGCCATATTAGCACATTATGGAGAGATTAAAGACCATGAAATGACTTTAATAAGTTTTCTTGCCTATATTGTCACGTATGCAATTAAAATAGTTTGGCCAGGACATATTAAGCATGTTGTACACAATCAGTATTAAAAATATCAAATACACGTTAAAAAAATTAAAAGGCCACAAAACTTAGATTTTTTTACTTTTGAAAATTGCAATAAATTAAAAATACATAACATCTAAACTTTTAAAGTGTGCCCAACCAAGCTCGAAAAACACACACACACAAAAAAAAAAAAAGTCAATTAAGATGAAAAATAAATACAAATAGGTAAATAAATGACCACCAGGGCCATCATCTGAGAGAGACTGGAGTTCCGAGTCCTATAATAGCCCACTTATTGGGTCTGGGGGAGGGAGGACCCCCCACCCATAAAAATGTTTGTCCCAGGCCCTTTAATTTAAGTGACCTTGTAAATGCATATTTTAAATAATTTCTGTACAAAACAAGCCAACACAGTTAGGCTAAATTGTAAATGGGAAGACAAAAGATGTCTACTTCAGCAGAACATCCAGACTGAGCCGTAAATATTAATTCTGGCTGCCAAAAAACAAAGGAATGAAAGCAAATGGACAACAGACTAAGAAAGGGCAAGACAGATGAGACTGGAGTGATTACATGAGGAATATGCAACGCTTATTGGTGTGTTTTAGGGGGGGGGGGGCCCCATCTCAAACGACAGACACATTTGTTTGCACTCACCAGACGGATTTAACGACTGAGCTTCTAAGTGCTTGATGTAATTGATTTTGAAAGAATAAACTGAGTATAGAAGTCAAAATTTAAAACTTCACTCTGGCTTATTATGAACATGCATGGAGCAAAAGTGCAAATACCAGAGAAGAGAAAGGAGTATGTGCTGAACAGATGGGCTCATGGACGGTGGCATCATGTGATATAGCACAATCACTAAAAGAGGGCATTTCACTGCGTTTTCCCACTTAAAAAGAGCTCTATACTTTCTTTATGATGCATGCATATTGACTTGTTCACAGGTGAACAAACTTAATTATAAGGGTGTTTGTTTGCATAATTACACAACTTTTACAGCATTCATTCTCAAGTGAGAAACATGTAGCATTTTAAAATAACTTAAAAAAAAAATTAAATAAACTTGACCACCTGGAGTGCAGCAACTTAAATGGCAATAATAATAATAATAATGGTTATAATATCTTTTATACACACACATATATAAAATTTCATTTTTTTTTAAATCGGCGTAGAATATGTTCTCACATGTGTTGTTTGATGTTTTGGTCATGTGTTATTTAGTTTAAATCAATTTTGCATACTAGTTATTGGGCATTTAAACAAATAAATTGTATGAGTCATATCTTCTTTATACGTCAAACGTTCAAGGACTACACACAAAACAAGATTATTTAATACCTACAAAAGACAAAGCTACCTGGACTAAACACAATAGACCAATTCATTTTAAATATGATAAACATGGAAGTTCAGGTAAATAGAAATATGAAATCATCCCATTTACCCTCTTTAGCCATCGAGTTGTCATCTTGCTCTCTGTAGATCTGTCGCACCATCTCCGCAGTTTCCTCATTGCTGTGGCTGTTGATGTCCCACAGCACCAGTGTAGCCCGGCGCCGGGCGAACTCTTTGGCGAAGAGCCGCCCGAGTCCGCCGCCCGCCCCGGTGATCACGCACACCTGTCCCGCTACGCTCTTCTCCTTCGGCCGTATGAGCCACTTGAGTCCGGCCATCACGATGGCCCAGAGAACTTTGAGCATGACCACGAAAAACTCCACGACAATGTTCATCATCATGTTTAATGCCGCGCTGTGACTTTGTATTAAATAAAGATGAACGTCTCACAATGTCCAGTTACACCTAAATGATTAATCAACCTGAGTTTTGCTGTTGTGCTGCTACCATTAGCATATAATTTATTCTTTAACTATGCGCGTAATTATGGGGTGAACATCCAATTAACCCCAACTGTCATACAACTACTAATATACATATATAAAAGCCTATACACAAATCAACAATATAACGCATCAAACTTTCAGAATACGAGCATCACAAATAAAAGCACTAATTTAACGCTACAACACAGACGAGTCTCCCCGCCAGCGACCTATAGTATCCCGGCACGAATGCGCGCAATAGCTGCCAGTGCGCCACTGCTCTGTGAGCGAGATAGAGACAGACTCCTGAGTCCTGACTGATCTGCTGCTCGCTCTCTATTTAAACCGGCCCCTCTCCACAGGACCCGACCGAGTGATTGGCCCAGATGCCTGATTGAAATTTACATCTACTTAGCTCAGCTGTGGACGTTTGGGACGTGTTATAACACTGTCTGACTAATAAGTAGTTGTGGTTGTATTTTTAATGCTTAGGCGGATGTTTCAATGAATATGCTATATCAGTGCATATAATTGGATGTTATATGATTTGTGCTTTGCTTGGAGAAAGTAGTTCAATGCGTTGTTTTAGGAGCCCACAGAATGTTAGATAGAGATTTCTCAGTGGTAAACACTGAAAAGGAGAAATACAATACAAAGCTGTTTCTACAAAAAGGGAAAATGTTTAATAGGCTGTTGAAAAGCAATACAAATGTTTATGTTTAGCTACATAATAAAAGCCAGACATAAAAAAATAGATTATGTAAAAATAGCAATAAGTACAAGAAAAGTGCATCTGAAAATGAAACATGTTAAACCTCTTAATTAGTTTATTCTGAAAAATGCACTATAAAGCCAGTTTGCACATTGCATTTTGTAATAGGGATATCAAGATTTATATGGAAACCACACTCTAAAAAATGCTGGGTTAAAAAGGGACAAACCCAGCTATTGGGTTGTTTTGACCCAGTGGTTAGGTTGTTTTGACCCAGGGTCAAAACAACCCAATAGGAGAAACATGTAGCATTTTAAAATAACTTAAAAAAAAAATTAAATAAACTTGACCACCTGGAGTGCAGCAACTTAAATGGCAATAATAATAATAATAATGGTTATAATATCTTTTATACACACACATATATAAAATTTCATTTTTTTTTAAATCGGCGTAGAATATGTTCTCACATGTGTTGTTTGATGTTTTGGTCATGTGTTATTTAGTTTAAATCAATTTTGCATACTAGTTATTGGGCATTTAAACAAATAAATTGTATGAGTCATATCTTCTTTATACGTCAAACGTTCAAGGACTACACACAAAACAAGATTATTTAATACCTACAAAAGACAAAGCTACCTGGACTAAACACAATAGACCAATTCATTTTAAATATGATAAACATGGAAGTTCAGGTAAATAGAAATATGAAATCATCCCATTTACCCTCTTTAGCCATCGAGTTGTCATCTTGCTCTCTGTAGATCTGTCGCACCATCTCCGCAGTTTCCTCATTGCTGTGGCTGTTGATGTCCCACAGCACCAGTGTAGCCCGGCGCCGGGCGAACTCTTTGGCGAAGAGCCGCCCGAGTCCGCCGCCCGCCCCGGTGATCACGCACACCTGTCCCGCTACGCTCTTCTCCTTCGGCCGTATGAGCCACTTGAGTCCGGCCATCACGATGGCCCAGAGAACTTTGAGCATGACCACGAAAAACTCCACGACAATGTTCATCATCATGTTTAATGCCGCGCTGTGACTTTGTATTAAATAAAGATGAACGTCTCACAATGTCCAGTTACACCTAAATGACTAATCAACCTGAGTTTTGCTGTTGTGCTGCTACCATTAGCATATAATTTATTCTTTAACTATGCGCGTAATTATGGGGTGAACATCCAATTAACCCCAACTGTCATACAACTACTAATATACATATATAAAAGCCTATACACAAATCAACAATATAACGCATCAAACTTTCAGAATACGAGCATCACAAATAAAAGCACTAATTTAACGCTACAACACAGACGAGTCTCCCCGCCAGCGACCTATAGTATCCCGGCACGAATGCGCGCAATAGCTGCCAGTGCGCCACTGCTCTGTGAGCGAGATAGAGACAGACTCCTGAGTCCTGACTGATCTGCTGCTCGCTCTCTATTTAAACCGGCCCCTCTCCACAGGACCCGACCGAGTGATTGGCCCAGATGCCTGATTGAAATTTACATCTACTTAGCTCAGCTGTGGACGTTTGGGACGTGTTATAACACTGTCTGACTAATAAGTAGTTGTGGTTGTATTTTTAATGCTTAGGCGGATGTTTCAATGAATATGCTATATCAGTGCATATAATTGGATGTTATATGATTTGTGCTTTGCTTGGAGAAAGTAGTTCAATGCGTTGTTTTAGGAGCCCACAGAATGTTAGATAGAGATTTCTCAGTGGTAAACACTGAAAAGGAGAAATACAATACAAAGCTGTTTCTACAAAAAGGGAAAATGTTTAATAGGCTGTTGAAAAGCAATACAAATGTTTATGTTTAGCTACATAATAAAAGCCAGACATAAAAAAATAGATTATGTAAAAATAGCAATAAGTACAAGAAAAGTGCATCTGAAAATGAAACATGTTAAACCTCTTAATTAGTTTATTCTGAAAAATGCACTATAAAGCCAGTTTGCACATTGCATTTTGTAATAGGGATATCAAGATTTATATGGAAACCACACTCTAAAAAATGCTGGGTTAAAAAGGGACAAACCCAGCTATTGGGTTGTTTTGACCCAGTGGTTAGGTTGTTTTGACCCAGGGTCAAAACAACCCAATAGCTGGGTTTGTCCATTTTTAACCCAGCACTGGGTTATATTTAACCCAGCATTTTTTAGAGTGCAACCGAAGTATAAACAAACTGAATCCTAAAACCATAAAACTGTGAAGGTTTTGCTTGTTTGTTCCCATGCACTACAAATGAAGTCTGAGAAAGAAAACAATTATTTGCCAGAACTGTTACGAGATGGCAAAGGAGAAAAGAGTCAAAGCTCTTTAAGAATGGATCTGAGCTTTCTACACTCTAAAAAATGCTGGGTTAAATACAACCCAGTGCTGGGTAAAATAGGGACAAACCC